CCTCTTCCTCACCGGGGACCCTACAGCTGGGGTGGCTGGGACTCAGGACTGGGGACCCAGTGAGCCGGGGAGACTGGCGAGCGGCCTGGGGCGGGGCTCCCCTGTCCCCAGCCCAGCCTTTTGCCCACGGGACTCAACACTGTCACCCACCACCCTCACGCAGGGCCTGAAGGGGGCTGGGAGCCCAGGCGGCTGCTGGAGTGACCAGCCTGTGACCAGGTGGGCTGGTGGCCTCTGAGGAAACCTGTCCTCCTGAGGGAGGAGACCTGGCTGGGGACATCCCGGCAGGACCCAGACCTGAGCCTCTAGGGCGTCTGGGAGGAGGTGGCTGGTACCTGGGAGGGAGGAGATGTCTGCCCACCTCCTCTGCTCCTGGTTCCCTCCTACCCTTTCTCAAACACCCTACGCAGGAGCCTTCATCAGGGAACCAACTACAAGAGTCTAACTTTGTAAGATCAAGAAACAGGCCTCCAGCCAAGCCCAGGGAAGGAGGAATGATGGCCAAGTGCTTGAATTACCAACCATGCTTAACGCCTGGTTTTCAGCCAGACAAGCCCTCCCCGACTGGCCATGGGTCCCTTGGGTTGCTCCCTCCCGCCCTATCATCGCCCTATTCCTCTTTTTTTTTTTTAAATATATTTTATTGATTTTTTTACAGAGAGGAAGGGAGAGGGATAAAGAGTTAGAAACATCAATCAGCTGCCTCCTGCTCACCTCCTACTGGGGATGTGCCCACAACCAAGGTACATGCCCTTGACTGGAATCGAATCCGGGACTCTTCAGTCCACAGGACGATGCTCTATCCACTGAGCCAAACAGGTTAGGGGTGGGCAAACTTTTTGACTCCAGGCCACAATGGGTTCTTAAACTGGACCGGAGGGCCAGAACAAAAGCATGGATGGAGTGTTTGTGTGAACTAATATAAATTCAAAGTAAACATCATTACATAAATGGGGATGGGCTTTTTTTTTTTTTTAGTTTTATTCATTTCAAACGGGCCGGATCCAGCCCGCGGGCCGTAGTTTGCCCACGGCTGGGTTAGGGCCCTATTCCTCTTTCTCATACAGAGAGGGAAACAGAGACCACTGGGCCTGGCAGGAACCGCTTTATGCAAATCAAACAGCATGTGTGGTACCAAACCCCAGCCTTGCCAGACCCCAGACTGTCCTCCCGGGTAGGAGGTTAGGAGGGCTGGCTAGTCAGTCAGGTGGCTCCTCCCTCCAAAGTGAGAGGGTGGGAGGAAAGGAGGGAAACTTCGATAGAGCTCACCCTGAACTTGGAGAATGTGGGGCCACATTCCAAGCAGCAGTCTCCTCGGTGACTCGAGGGCAGGAATGCGTCTGGAACAGGAAGCCAGCCGGCAGGAATGCAAGGCCTCAGCACAAGGCTCTGTGTGGCCTCAAAAGAACACGCCCCCCCCCCCCCCCCCAATGTACACTCCACTCCAGACCATGCGGATATGCCATGCGGATATGCCATGCCCTCATGGCGCTCATGGTGATGGGGATACCTTGATGTGTGTGTGTGTGGGGGGGCGGGTTATACACGTCCCTCCCATCTGCCTTCTGCTGCCCTGACAGCCCCGGGCCCCCACATGACCACCTCCACGGTCTCTCTTTCACCCTGACCACTGCAGGAGGAGACTCATCTCCCTCTGAGTGATGCTTAAAGGCAGGGGAGAGGCAGCACAGCCACCCCATCCCTGCCCACCGGAGGGGTGAGCAGCTATTGCGAGTTCCTGTGACAGGTGGTAGCCAAGACAGGTGGTGGCCAGAGCAGAGTCACCCCTCAGGCTGAGGCCGGAGGGGTGTGACTGCCCCTTCACCTCCATGGGGAAGTCCCAGCTTCACGTCTCCTGCAAGCTCAGCACTGAGCGAGGCCCTGAGGGACCATGGGCCACGCTAAGCACCTGGAGGCAGCTCCTGCCACACGAGATGGCGGGGAGCCGTGGTGGCCTCCTCTGTGGCCTGGAAGGCTGCCTCTGGTGGTGGAGGGGCAGGAGCACCCCCACCCCTGGACAAGCCAGAAACCGGGAGTCTGGCTCCGGGTTCCTTCCCTGGCCCTCTCCCCTTACCAGCTAGGAGTCCTCCCACCAGGTACTCATCCTCCCTGTCCTCAGCTTCTTCACCTAGAGACGAGGATGGTAACAGTACCTCCCCAGCTGGGAGGGTTAGACCTAAAGCACTGAACACTCCCTGGCACTTTAGAACATGTAGCTGTGGAACTTTGGGAAAGTGAAGGGGGCGGTATTAGATACTCTCCCAGGCCACTCCTAACTCCCATCTGTCCTCATTTCTGAAGTGATTCCCCCAAATGCAGAAAAATCGAAGGCGGGCACTGCACTGGGCAAAATGCAGTTGCATAATCGGGTGGTCTCCCCCACCCCGTGTCTGGCCAACCCCAGCCTTCTCTGCTGACACACGGGTTTGGCTAGTTACTCGATCTGCCACAGACGTTTTCTCCCAAGCTCAGGCTGGTGTGTGGCCGCAGAGAGTTCTGGAACTGCAACCCTCCAGCCCCTGGAGGGAGAGCTGGCTGCCCCTGGAGGGAGAGCTGGCTGCCCCTGGAGGGAGAGCTGGCTGCCACAACTAAAGAGGTAGATTTTAGCTTGAACCCATCCAGCCTTTAAAGGCATTCAAGCACTCCCAGGCATGCCCATTGGCAAGGGTCTCCCCTCCTGAGAACACCGCTGGCCCAGCAAGGTCTGTTACAGACAAGGATCTCACCACGTTACTATTGCAGCCCACCTGTTCCAACTTGTCACTTCCCTGCTTACAATTTTCAAAGTGTTCCAAGAGCCGCAAGGTGAAGTTGAAACCATTTCTCCTGGCATTCAAGGTTCCCGTCTCCCTTTACAGCAGCGGTTCTCAACCTGTGGGTCGCGACCCCTTTGGCGGTTGAACGACCCTTTCACAGGGGTCGCCTAAGACCATCCTGCATATCAGATATTTACATTACGATTCATAACAGTAACAACATTACAGTTATGAAGTAGCAACGAAAATAATTTTATGGTTGGGTCAACATGAGGAACTGTATTTAAAGGGCCAGAAGGTTGAGAACCACTGCTTTACAGCCTTACTCAGTATCCCCTTCAGCCACTGCCCTAAACTGAGCATTCCCCTTGCCCTCGCCCCCGTCACTCGGCATTTCTCTCCTCCACCCGTCCAAGTCCTGTTCATCCTTTCACACGGACAGTTCCTGCTCTGCACTCACAGGGGCCGCCTGTGTGTTCCACATCAGCTCTTAAGCACTTGTCGTCACGCCGCATTATTTCATTCATGCCGCTCAATTGCTGCCACTGGACTGTTATCTTCAGGAAAGCAAGAAAAATGCTAGATCTTTCTATATTCCCACTTTGCCGGAACCCAAGTATTTCCAGAGGGGTGAATTCCCCTTCTGAGTGTTCTCCCTGCCACGGCTGCACCGGACACTAGGTGGCGCCCAGGTGGGTAACCCATTTCAGACCAGCCCTCCTCTTGAGCCACAGAAAGCCTTGATCTTTCCTGTGAATATGAAGGCAGCGATCCAGGTAAAAGTTGAGACAATTATACCCAGGTGTAAATTATATCAACAGGTGCCTGAGGAGGCAACACAGTCTCTGCCAAGATTCCTTCCAAAAGGAGCCAGATAGCGCCCAGCACCCTCTGACGCCCAGCTTTGATCTTTTCAGTGAACATAAAGCTGAGGCTGCGCCCATCCCTCCTGCTACTTGGGGGCAGGGTGAGTCTGAAGCACCCAGCAGCACCCGTGCGCCTTTCTGAAATGTCCTCTGGGATTAGATCAAGGCGGAGGGGGAGGGCAGTCAATCACGCCAAAAATCTGGCAGGGACCACTGTCCCCCGCCTCAAACATGCTGGCAGTGGCCATGCACTTTTTTTTTTAAATATATTTCTTTATTGATTTCAGAGAGGAAAGAAGAGGGAGAGATAGAAACATCAATGATGAGAGAGAATCATTGATTGGCTGCCTCCTGCATGCCCCCGACTGGGGATCGAGCCCGCAATGTAGGCATGTGCCCTTGGCCAGAATCGAACCTGGGACCCTTCAGTCCGCAGGCCGACGCTCTATCCACTGAGCCAAACTGGCTAGGGCTGGCCATGCACTTTATATGTACTGCCAGGGGAAGGGGTGGCAGACCAACCCTGGCTTGGAGGTGAGGCCTTGGTGGGTGGTGGTCCCTCAGGGTGAGGGCTCTGCTGGGTTGTTGCCTCCAGGCAAGGCTAGCCTGCAGCCTTGTCCCAAAGTGGTTCTGGTGATTATATTTCTCCAATGGCTGCAGACAGCCTTAGAGAATGCAGGAGGTACTTTGGATCATGCCCCTTTCTGCCCATCCTCTGGGTAAGTCAGCAGGACTGGCAGCCTCCACAGCAAAGGGCACAGAGAGCACCAGCCCAGCCAGTGGTAGCAGAGCAGGGGACGGCACGGAGATGGGCGTGGCAGAATGGGCCTGGGGCTGCCTCCTGTGCCTCTGCTGTCCACCCTCCAGCATCCCTTCCCCTCCCCAGGCTCCCAGGGAGAAACCCATTCCTGCAAACCACCAGGGACCATCCGGTAAAACAGGCATCTTTACAAAGGGGCCCAGGAAGAGCAGGACCCCCAGCTTCATCAGCTGGTAGGGCAAGGGGTGAAGGGAGGAGAAATCCTATCTAATAAAAGAGCAATATGCAAATTAACCATCACTCCACGACAAAGATGGCTGTGCCCATATGGCCGGGGTGGGACACTGGTGGCGTCACCCCGGCAATGCGAGCCCAGCATCTGCACCCCGGCCACACTGAGGGAGGGGAGGGGCCCCGACTGCACAAAGGGAGGGAAGGGAAGGGGCCTTGGGCCATAGGCCAGGGGTGAGGGACGCTGGCGTCATTGCAGGCCGGGCTGAGGGACCCCCCCACTGTGCAGGAATTTTGTGCACCGGGCCTCTAGTATGTGAATAAAGCCTTTGCTCCCAGCAGTAGGGAGAAGTCAGGGAGGAGAGGACAGGAAGGAGGGGCAGCTCCTTTATTTTGTCCCCGTATATATATTTATTGAGCTCACATGTCAGGAACTTTGCACCATGAATACCTCTAGCCTGTGACCCTCCCATCTCCTAGATACTAATCTCCACGGCCCAGCCTGCCTAACCCCTGCTGCTCAATGGTGACGGATGCAACGTCCGCCTCAGAGATTGGTGCAGAGGCTGCCCAGCAGGGGGAAGTGAGAGTATCTAGCAAAAGCCTGGGAAGGTAAGACAGGCCCCAGCCTCCGGCCTCACCCAGTGAGGGGGAAGGGGCCCATCACCCACCATGCCAACTTGTTATTGGCATGGCCCTGGCGCGAAGGTGCCTGCAGAGTCCGGAGGTGTGCTCAGGCCTGGGAGGTGAGGGCTTTAGGGGCTGAATATCGCTGGCGGGCATGCTTCTCGCAGTACAGCTCATCCCCCACCCAAAAGTGCCCACGCATCTTCAGGTTCAGCCCGCAGTCCGCGCAGGTGTAGCAGCCAGGGTGGCGGTACCTCCCCTCCTGGATGCGCACGGCCTGGTTCCTGAGGGAGGAGGGTCGGAAAGCCATTCGTTAGCCTGGGGGGTGGAAAACCGGAGCCGGGCGTGATGCTCCCCAGAGCCCAGAGGCAGGACCTGGGAAGATCCCCAAATCTGACTCTTGACCCCCCATGCCTGCCCTCAGGAATCTCACTTCAACAGCCCCCAGCCCCAGAACCCTAATAATAATAATAATAATAATAATAATAATAATATCATTTCTCCCCCACAAAAAGCAGGTAAACTCCATCCTGTATCTCCTGGGTTGTTAATGGAGCAGTGGTTCTCAATGTGTGGTCCCAGGTGCCAGGACCACAGCATCGCATCGTCTGGGGACAAGCTGGCAAGGCAGCTCTGGGGCAGGGCCCTGCTGAAGAGGAAACTGAGGTGCAGGCCCAACAGTGTTGCCACAAGCCCAGGGCCCTGGGCTGCTCTTTGACATGGGACACAGTCCTGTCAGTGCAGCAGCGTGGCTCTCCCATTCTGCAGATGGAACACTGAGGCCCAGGGAGCGGAAGGGATTCGCCCAGAGTGAGTCACCTGCCCCTCCACACTGTGCACGGAACAACTTTTTCCAGGGGAGCCTTTTAGCAATTTTCCAGAGAACGTGGCTGCACTGCGATGCCACCCACTGAGAACAATGAACCTGCCTCTGGAAACTTCATCCTGTTCCAACGGAGGTACAGGAGGGGTGAGAGCAAGGTTTCCCAGGAGGAGGCTCCTCGTCTAGAGGCAGATCTCCAGAGACTGGGAGATCATGGAGATAAACCAAACGCAGTAGCACGTCTTCCTCCACCTCCACTGGGAGGGGGAGAGAAATCACGGAGGAGGGGGAACTGCAGGACAAAGCCAGCCGGGCCTCCTGCGAAGGCTGACAGTGACCCACAGAATGTCTGACGGCTCCACGTGTCACTGTGCCCTCCAGGGCCCCTGACGGGTTGTTCTGTGCAGCCCCCTCTGGGAAGCACCCTGTGCCCTGCCCCCACCCTGCCTCCCAGGCGGCCAGACTCACGCAATGCTGGTGCTGCACTTCTCACACGTGTGGAGCTTGGGCGGGGTGGCCGGGGCCCTGGGGGTGGGCGAGGAGGACTGGGGGCTCAGGGAGCTGGGCAGGAAGGCAGGTGTGCCACCTGGGAGGAGTGAGGGCAGACAGACACATCAGAGCTGGCCCACCGCAGCGGCAGGCTGTGTTTACGCGCACTCCGCCTGCTCCAACACGCCGCCAGGACTCACACTTACAGGCGGGCCTCTGGGGTGGCACCAGGCGTGAGCGTGGGGAGTGGAGGAAGGAAGCGATCCGGCAAGATCCCTGGCTGAGGCTGGGCAAGTGCAGGAAGCACGGGAGGCTGCCTGCCCAAGCCAAGGAGCAAGCTGGGAGTGCCTGCGCGGTGCCTGACCCAGCAGGCGAGCAGACGGCTCCCATCGTGCAGCCCAGTCGTGATGATGTTAATGGGCAGTAATAATGGGTGGTAACCTTTGTACAGTTTTCAAAGGGCTCTTATGTGCATTATTGCCTCTGAGCTTTGGACTGCGCTCAGGTGAAGCACAGATATTACGAGGGAGTGACGGTCCCCACTTGCAGCTGATGCCACGGAGACTCCAGTGTGATGTCACCACCCATCTGCCTCTCCCTCCAGGGGCCCGCCAAGGCCTCAGGGTCACACTGGACAAAACTGGCTCCACCCCAACTTCTGCCTCTGTGCACACCCCTAGGAACCAGACATCAGAGTTGGAAACAGCCACCAGGTTTTAGTGATCCTGCCACTCACATACTTCTCCTGCCCGGCCCATCCTCGCGCTCCCTGATGCCACTGCCCAGGCCAGGCCTCCCCATCTCTCCCCTGAAGAAGGACAGTGGTCCCTCCACAGCAACGCCTGCAGCAGCCTCCGGTTCCTGGGAGCCGGGCGGACCTGGCAGCCCCAATAAACAGAGCTCCTCATGGACAGACATGGGCCCTGACCACCTTTCCTCTCCACACTCTGCACAGGGCCGGTCCACGTGGGGCACAGGAAACCTTCGGCAGGAGCCCGGATCGCCTGAACTGCTGCCTTCGGCATCGCAGGTGCTGCCTGCATTAATTATCTAACTGGCCCTCCTGGGGTAGGCCACTCCGAAGCCTGGCACTCGAGGCCTCACAGCCAGGGCCACCTCCCTGCTGCCAGGCCGCTGTCCTCTGCTCCCACAGCCAAGAGCTCTCGGCTGCCGGCCTCCACATTCCGCAGCCCACCTGCCACCGTCTGAAGGCTGCTTGGTAAAGACTTCATCTTTCTTCAAGGACCACATCAAATCCCTCTTCCTCCATGAAGCCCTCCCTGGAGACCCCACCACCCCCCTCGGTTGTTCCCTTGGCAGTTTCCTGATCCCAGCTGGACCTCTGAGGGCACCCTGGCAACCCCCGACTGCAAGCTCCTTCAATGCAGGACCTGTGGTCTCAGTGCCCCTGGGTGCCTGCCCCCTGGTGAGCACTTAGGAATCACTAGGCCAATAAGCTGTCCACCCAGGGCCCAGGGGTGTCCTGGGGAACCTACTTCCCCTCCAGAACCACCGCCACCACCCCGGGCCTCACCTCTCTCCTCGGCCTCCAGGGCTTCCTGCAAGAGTTTGAAGGAGCTGGACTGCCGGGGGGCCACCCGCCCCTCACGATTCTCCTGCAGCATCTTGAAGACCTCTGAGTCCTCTCGCAGGAGGTGGCTTCCCCTCTCCGAATCCATACTGTGGGGATGGGAGGCAGCCAGGAGTGAGGTCCGGTCCGGGTGTCAGGACGAGCTGCCTGGACTTAGAGAGGCAGGGACCCCTCCATCCCTCTCTAGGAAGCCAGTCCCTCCTAGTCCTCCGAGATCCCACCCTCCCTCCAAGGCTCGCTGGTACCTGAGTCTGGGGCTGGAGGGCCGGGGGCCCGGGGAAGGCGGCAGCACCCGCACTGCCGAGTCGCCAGCGAGGCCGAGGCCAGCCTGTGGGAAGGAGAGGCACCAGGGGAGGAGTCAGCGCTGGAGCCTTCGGCCAGCACACCCAGCGGGCCGCCAAGGCCGGCTATTCCCAGGCCCAACACCAGAGGGCCCCCCTCCCTGTCCCCCTCCATGGAAACCCGACCAGGTCACCCTCGACTGTTCGCCCCGAGGGGAGGGAGGCAGCACCCAGCTATGGAGGTGTGAGGGCTCTGCAAGGGACTGGGCGGGAGGGGCAGGATAAAGATAGGGGGTGACAACCAGCTAAATTCAGACAAAAAGCAAATTCCTCTGTTATCTCGGGCCATGTGTTTGGAAAGATGTTGCATGTTGGGGCCTGTCTGCTCTGACAGAACAAACGAAGAAGCCAGCCCTCTGCCCTGAGGAAAAGGCAACATAAAGGGGAAGAGGGAAGAGGCCAAGCCCCCTCTGGGAGTCGGGGCTGGAGCTGCACAAAGGACCTCTCACCCACCGCGCTGGTTCCCTTCTAGGAGGGCCAGGGTCTGGGCCCACCAGCCTCTTCAGGCCGCCCTGGGAGGTCTGGTCCTGCCCCAGGCAGCCTTGGGGAGCCAGGGTGGTCCTGGGCCCACAGCACAGCAACAGTGCCCTCTCCCTCCCCCGTGTGCACCATCTATCTCGGGCTCTTACACCTGCTCTCCACGTGGGCATCTCCCTTCCACCTCCGTTGTTCCGCTCCCGCTCCGCCCCGTCCCCATGGAAAGGAGAGCCTGAGGCCCCAGGCAGCCATGCTAGGGCAGTTTCCTGGAAAGCCAAATCCCCTCCGTTTTAAAATTCAAAGTCAGGAATGAATTATGGGGTTGAGTGAAAAACCTGCATGAGTTCCTAAGCTAAAGGGGAAACATCAGAGTCTTGAGAAGACAGCCCCAGACCCTCTCCCTGCCTCTCCCACCAGCCCGCATTCCTCTGCTCGCAGCCTCTGCGGGCAAGCCTTCCACAGTGAGGAGACTCAGCTCAGAAGGGCAGCAGCTGGGATCGGAGGCAGGGCTGGGAGCCCACAGCCCAGAACCTGGTGCCCAGCTGGTGCCAGGTGGTCGACAGAGGACGGTGAGAAAATGTCCTCAGGAATGACGTCCAGCACCAGCTAGTGACTCAAGAATGATGTCCCATCTCGCTGTCCCAGACAGGCTGGCATATGCCCTACGGGGGGGGCGGGGGGGAACACTGGGCAGTGGGAGGGAGGGCTGAAATCCAGCCCCGGTTCCTTCAAAAGCCAAGCCCTCGTGCCAGCCAGAGGGAGAGGTGCTGTTCTCACTTCACATCTGCTCACCAAGGCTTCTGCCTCCCGGAAGGGCAACCCCCCCGTTTCCAGACGGGCACCTAAGGGCTGGTGGCGTCCTGCGCTTGGCCCAGCGGGGCCTCGGCCTGCTCAGGAGCCAGCAGCCAAGACGCAGCCACAGCAGACAGTCACCTCCACCCCTCCTCCCTCCAGACCAGCACACCTGGTGGAGAGGCACCCAACTCCCTCACTCAGAGCCACCCGCCTCCCTCTTCCCCCTTCCTCTGTCAGCTCAGGAAGGACACCTGTCTCCACAGAGGCAACCTTTCCCCTCCAATAGAACACCTGCTCATCTGCCACCAGGAGCCACGTGTGGCCAACACCTCCCAAAATGTGTTCTGGGTAACACAGGAGATAAATAGTAATAAGTGAGTGGCAGGGCAGGAGGGCGGCCATCAGCTTAGGAAATTGAATGTGCTTCTCTCTCCTAGGACTCTAGTGCTTTAAGGTGCTAAGGTGCACAGTGACACCACGAGGGAGCTAAGGGACTCTGTGACTCCCACACCACCTGATTTGTTTCACTTGTCGACCAGAATGCAAACTTAGTTGGGTTAGGAATTTCTGTTTTTCCGCCACTGCTTCCCCAGAGCCCAGAACCGTGCCTGACACACTGCAGCTGCTCGCTAAGTATTTGCTGAAGGAATGACAGGGGCCTCAGGTCAGAGAGAGAGGAAGGGGGCTCATCCAAGGTTACACAGTGGATGTGGGACTAGCCGTCCTGCCACCTCTCCCTGCCACCCTGCCCAGGGCTCCTCCCTACATGACTGGGGCCACTGGGGAGGTCTTCAGATCTTCCCATGCATCGGACCCCCAAGGGCTCCTTAAAACAGATTGGTGCCCCACCCCCTGCCTGTGTCTGACTCAGTAGGTCTAGGCTGGAGCCTGAGGATTTTCACTTCTAACAAGTTCCAAGGTGCTGCCGCTGGTTTGACAGCCACTCCTTGTACCACCCAAATGCCCCCTTTGCCAGGGTTGGGGGCACCACAGGAAGGAGGCCAGGATGGACCCGCCCTCTCCAGCCATGGCCTAGGACAGTGGTTGGCAAACTGCGGCTCGGCAAACCACAGCTCGCGAGCCACATGTCGCTCTTTGGTCCCTTGAGTGTGGCTCTTCCACAAAATACCACGTGCGGGTGCGCACGTACAGTGCGATTGAAACTTCGTGGCCCATGCACAGAAGTCAGTATTTTGTGGAAGAGCCACGCTCAAGGGACCAAAGAGCCGCATGTGGCTCGCGAGCCTCGGTTTGCCGACCACGGGCCTAGGATAAGCTTGTTCCACTGCTCATCCGCTTCTAACCTAAACCCCTACCGGGTCCGACCTCCCGACCCTCCAGCAAAACCCCTGACAAAGCCTTCTGAGGCCACCCCAGTCCACACTCATCTCCCGCTCCAAGAAGGCCTCCTGCTTTTCTAATTAAGACCATACTGTTTAGTGCTTAATTGTTCCAAAGTTGTTTCGCATGTTTGTCTTATCTCCACAGCTACATTTAAAACTGTTTGAAGGGGATCTCATGGAACACATCGTTATGCCCATAGGCCCGGCGGGCCACTGGGCAGGCCCACAGCCAGTCGCCAGGGACCCCGATGCAGCCCCCAGAGGACCCCCTTCCTTCTCCAGAGCCCCCAGTCTCTAGTACCCTCCCCTCGCCACCCCCAAGGCTCTGCTTTCTGGAATGCAGATCAACCGGAGTTCGGATTCCAGCAGCTGGGCCTCATCCCCTTCACCCCAAAGGCTGGACATGCCCCCCCAACTCTGCCCCCGGCAGCTGTGGCCCAGAGCAGTTGGCCGCCTCACTCCCTCACCTCTGCACCCGGCCCTTAGAGATGAGAAACACCACCAAGGGGGGTTGGGCTGTCACTAGTGGACAGTGGGACCTGGGGTGGGGGGCCCCCCAGGAAGGAAGGCAGGGTGGGGCAGACAGACAATGGGCCAAGTGCAACTTCAGGCAGAACCACAGTCCCACTGGTGGTTCCCTGGGCTGAGCCCGAGGAAAAAGAAGGGGATGGGGTGGTGGAGGGGGGCAGGCATGGGGCTGGAATGGGGAGGAATGTGTGCAAGGGATGCAGCCAGAGCCAAAGGGAACCATCCCAACAACAGCAGCAAAACTATGTCAGTCGCAGCCCAAGAGAAACACTCAAGAAGGGAGGAAGCCGGCAGGAGGCAGGGGGGCGGCAGCCAGTGGGAGTGAGGTGGTGGGAGGCCACCTGGGCCAGTGGGGCAGGCCCGGAGCAGCCAATGTGACCCACCAGCAGATAGGATGACCTCCTGGCTCGAGAGAGGGGAGTGTCTGCTGCCAGGAGACAGAGGCCCGCTGCCCAGGTGGGATCAGCCACCTGCAGCCCCATAGGCACCACTGACAACCAGTGGGCCTGGGAGGCTCTCCCCGCCCCCCAGGACCCTCACCTGGCGGCGTCCGGGGTGGCCTCCATAGGACAGGCGGTCAGCAGCAGTGAGTCCTGGGTTGTGTGCCAGGCTCTGGGAACTGAATGGGGGAAATGCACAGTGTGTGTGCCAAGCCCTCCCCGCTCCAGACTGCCCCAGGGAAACAGAGGGTGCCCCCGTGTCCCCTGAACACAGCTATTGAGACCGAGAGGCCTGGCCTGGGCTTGGCAGCGGGGATGCCCACCCCCTGCACTCACCTTCGGCTCATCACCGCCTCTCCAGCAAGGGCATGCGGGCTGGTGGGGGCCTGGGTGGAGAAGGGGCTGCATGGCTGGGGGCTGAGGGAGGCTGGGCTGGAACAGGAGGACCGGAGGGAGGACTGGCTGTCAGTGTGTGTCCTTACTGAGCCCTGTGGAGACAGGACCCTGAAGAGTGGTCTGCCCACCCCCGGGGCCCTGTCCCTCAGGCCTCCCCTCACTTCCGGTGCTGGGGCTCCAGGCTAAAGGCACCAGCCTACCTGGAAACGTGTGGCCAGCACCTCCATGGTGCTTTCCCCATTGGTCTGCCCAGGAGAGGTGGCCCGGGACCTGAGGAGAGGACAGAGAAGGGGTGTCACAGGGGTCCTGGACCCTGCTTAGCTGGAAGGGGCTGGGGATTTCAGCTGCCCCCGCATCACATTCTCAAGAGGAGTAAAATGTCCAAAGCGTTCAGACAGTGGTTTGTCAACTTACAACTTGGCCAAATTCAAAATCAATAACTACTGTCGTCAGCCACCGTTATTTCTTAAAGGACAGTTTAGCACCAAAAAGTAGAAAGGAATAATTTCAGCAAAAACTTCCATAAATTCCATTTTATTTAAAAAACTCCTCATACTACCAGTATGCCCCCCCTTTTTTTTTTCATTTTATCCCAACTTTGTCTCTGATCAGCATCAGTTTGACAGATCAATTTTCGGGGAGACTGCTGATTTCATAAAATAACCCTACATCTTTGCCCAGCGAGAACCTGACACCCAGAGAGGAAGAGCTGCCCAAAGTCCTAAAGCCCAATAAGTGGCTGGGCCAGCTGCCCACTGTCCCCAACCAGAGGCCTGTCCCTCACAGCTCGGCCACTGTGGATGCCTTTGAGAGAGTCAGTCCTGGTCCCTTCCACAGCTCCTCCTCCATAAAACAAGGGTGGAGCTGTCCCCCTTCCCGCCAGGCAGGCAGCTGCAGGACCTGGAGACCAGCTCCCCGGCCAATCACCAAGGCAGCCAGCCAGAGGGCTCCCCCTTCTGCCCCCCCAGGACTGTCCTCCAAAGCTCTTTCCTATAGAGCCAGCTGGAGCCTTAGAGACGCCATTGAGGGCTGAGAGCTGGCCGAGGGAAAGCGCCTGCCAGGACCCATCCCCACTGCACCATTCCTGATGAGGCCACTTCTAGAGAAGAGAGGTCAGCAGGAACCTCAGTCACCACACACCACGGCAGCCGCAGCCTCAGCCTCTCGGGCAGGGGGTGGGGGGTAAGCTGTGAAGTCAGAGTGAGGGGAGCTTGGGTTGAGGCTCTAGCCCAGAGCACTGCTTCCTGCCACAGGGCTCTGAGTGCCTAAAAGGTCATGGGGGGTGGGGAGGGGGGTGTTCAGGGAGGATTAAGAGGGGGCTGGGCAAAAAAAAAAAAAAAAAAAAAAAAAACAGGGAACCTTGACCTGCCCAACATGGATCTGGAGGCCTGGGGGTACTCAGCCAGGCTCACCTCCCTGAGGAAGTGATGGTGTCAGCAGCTCCCTGCCCCTCCCCCGCCCCACTCTGCAGCCTCTTGTAGATTTTGGTCCCCTTCCCAGATGCCATGAGGTACTCCCCATCCTCCTCCTCTAGGTCCCACTCCTGCAACACTCCTGGGCCAGAGGAGCAAGAAGGAGTCACTGAAGGGGCTGGGGCTGCCCAGGGCATTGTGGGAGCCAGTTTCTACAGCCTGTGGGTGGGAGGACCAGGAGAGGGCATAGAGTCAGGGCCCAGGGAGAGCCTAGCAGGGCAGAGAGGAAGAACCTGACTCAGATTCAAGGCCCTCCCAAAGGGCTCTCCTGGCTGGGAGAATCTCCCAGGATTCCTTTCCTGTGACTCACCAAGATGCCCCACCCTGGGGAACCACCTGTCCCCTCCCCCGCCCCCATCCAGGGCTCCAGGCTGCAAACCCCACTAGCCAGAAATCAGGT